TTTTTTCTGCATGTTATTTTTGGTTCTTCGGGCCTGCGTGTCCTTGCATTTTATTTCTAATTTAGCGGGCCTGCGTGCCCATGCATGTTTTCCGTTTTCTTTTGTAATGAACTACGTTCGGCTTGATCCCGTTTGGGTACGTAGGCAGCTTGGATACAATATAAATCCAAGTCCAGTCCAAACAATTAATAAATCCAAACCCTGGGTATAACAACCCGATAGTTTGCTTTGCATCCAGCAAGCCACCTAAAGCCTTGTCCTTGACAAGCCAATATAAGCCTTGCCCTCGAGCAAGCCCCCTTAAGCCTTGTCCTTGACAAGCCAATGTAAGCATTGCCCTCGAGCAAGCCCCCTTAAGCCTTATCCTTGACAAGCCAATGTAAGCCTTGCCCTCGAGCAAGCCGTCTAAAGCCTTGCCTCGAGCAAACACCAAAATCTTGGAGCTCATAATCAGCACATCAAAATAGTGCAGCACAAGTATAAACACCGAGGACATACATCCCGACCATATATCCTTGTATTTTTGTCCAAGGCTGGAAAATGAAAGCTCGGGATAAACTTATGTACAGAGGTCGGTCACAATTATTTGTACACCTCGAGGACTACCATCCCTTGAAATTAATCCTCGAGTGTTAAGTGTCTAGAAAACTACATCCTACACTGTCCTCGGCATTATCACTTGTTTAAAAATTGAGTTATTCTCAATCATCGAGATGATTAATTAGTCGTCGAAAATAATTAATCTTCTTTAGTCGTCGGGGTAACTTGTCAACGTGCTCGGGGTTCACACTTCGATGTTCCAAGATAATTTTACTATTTAGTCCTCGAGGTAACTTGTTTAATGCTCGGGTTCAACACTGATGTTCCCAAATAATTTTACAGTTTGAGTCCTCGGGATGAATTTTTGTGTACGTTATAATGTTCAGAAATATTTTCACAAATTAGGTCCTCGAGATGTTTTAACTACTCTAGGCGTCAAGTTATTTAACCATCTTACATCGGGCTATTTGAGTTTGTCATGATCGAGATATCAATACACAGCAAGAAGGAAAATACTTGATCGAGTAAAATACATGTTCAAATTACAAAAAGAAAGGGGTATCATCATACGAAAAAACAAAAACTAATCTAAGTCCTCGGCCCTTTCTCCCAAGGCTGTGCTCCCCTGCTCCTCCACTGCGTCCTCGCCGTCAACGTCGACCTCATGGTCCTCGACGATTTCCTCGGACTCTGAAAGCTCGAGGGCATCAGCAACCTCGGGGATGCTCTTTAAATCCTCGGGTTTAGCGTCGGGCTTCGATCTCAAAAATGCCCGAGCTTCCTTAAAGGCATGGAAGTACGAGCCCATGGCGTACTCTCCCTTAAGGCCGTTAAACTCCTCGGACATTTTGAAGTCCTCAATCGCAACCCCTCGAGCTTCAGCCAGGCGAGTCTCAAAATCAATCTTCAAACGCTCGATCTCAAGCTTTAAACCTTCGACCTCGCCATTGGCAGTTCCAGCCTCTTCTCGAGCTCTCTGGACATCCTTCTTCAAGTCCTCGAGCTCCTTCTGAAGAAGAAAGCGCTCAGCCTCCAAGTCGGCTATCCTCTTCTCCTGTGCTCGAGAAGAGTCCTCGAGTTCGGTGGTTTTTTGGGCTTCATCTTTCCCCTTTAGAGAAAGGCCTCGAGCAATGCTCAGAGCCTACACCATATAAAGCCGAGCTTAAGTAATCACAGCGTTTAAACATTTTTAAACCTTGTATTTAAACAAAGTAAATTGGGCGAGCTTACCTTCAGAGTAAGAGATTCCAGAGCCTTCATGTCCTCATCAAAACCGAGGTCCTTCCTATACTTGTCCACGATGCTTGACACCAGAGGACACCAGTCAGGCTCCTGATTTTGGAAAGAGGGCATAGGTCGAACCTCATCCTCGAGGTCAACAACCTCGGGAGTACTCCTTGGCCGAGGATGTGACCGAGGTGGACCAGTAGGAGTCTCAGTGGCCTATGTGGTCGGGGTATGTCCCCGGGTAGAAGTTTCCCCAGGCCCACTTCTGATATTCTCGGAGCCTAGGTCCCGAGCTCTCTTCTTCCCTCTCTTCTGTCCTGGAGCTCGAGCTTGAGGGGCCTTTGACTTTTTGGTCACGGCCTGTCTGAGGGTTGAAGGATCAAAAGTCATCTCTGCAAAAAAGAACAAGTCATTAGAACGAGCACAATTATAAGTTCAAGGACAGATCAGTAAAGAGGAAGGCAAAAAAGTCCTACCCTCAGTGCCTTTCACATCCGCGAGATCGAGAACGTCATCCCCGAGGATGTCATCTATATCGTATACAAGAGGCTCGAGGTTCTCTAACATTACCCTATGCCTTTCTAAAGACTCGAAATAGGCCTGGCCTTCACAAAATCGGGGAGTGTCGGGCAAAACCCACCTAGGACTAAAAGGAAGGTCACTATCGTGAGGTACGACATAAAATCATTTTTCTTTCCAACCTTTCAAAGAACTCGGCATCCTCGGTAATCTAAATCCTCCTCGGGACGAAAGGTAAGCAAAACAAGTATATTGAGGAAGCTGTTTCAGGTCGAACACCATCCTACAGAGATCGACGTATGGGTTAATTCCTAGGTATCTACAGGCTATAAAGAAATAGGTAAGCATCCTCCACCCATTTGGCACAAGCTGTCCAGGGCTCATATTATGCTCGACCAATAAGGCCACAAAAAAGGGATGCAGAGGCCATCTAAATCCCCCCTTAAGTGAGTCCCTAAAAATCACGAACTCTCCCTCCCGAGCAAAGGCCATCCTATCCTCTACCCCTGGCGTCCTAATGTCGCATTTGGGCATGAGCCCATGCTCCCTAGCCGTCGATATTGCTAGATGTTCTTTAAATTTACAGGGGACCTCGGGGTACCTAAAAGGGGTCGAGATACTTTGTGCCCGAGGTTGGGCATTAATTGGGACATCCATAGGTATGATCGAGCATTCTATGTCCTCGGGAGTACTCCTCGAGGATGATGATGACGAAGAGTCACTACTGCTACTACTAGACATCCCGACCTAGGTAAAAAATGCCTAAAGAATAACTTAAAAACTCGAGGTCTTACCTTAAAGTCGACGCCTAAAAACTCAAAGTTCTGATCCCGACGATTAGCGATAGAAGTTTACTGAGAGCTAAAAGTGAAAAATGAAATGAGGGAAGGGTATTTATAGGCAACAGGAGCAGGAAGCCCAAAGGTCACTACCCCGACCGTTAGATCTGGACACGTGTCCTACATCCAACCCTACCAGTTTTTACCGCCTTTTCCTAATCTAGGGCTGACGTCAGTACACGTCAGCCCTCTGATGACGTCAGCCCTCTGATCAATCACAGGTGTTCAGAAATCCTCGAGCTAAAAAACTCGAGCTTTTATTTCCAGTCTCTTTGCATCATATCCTCGAGCATATTCTTCGAGCATATATGCACGGGGGCCTATGATGGTGACATTTTCCAATATCCCCGATCAACACATATCCCGACGACTATTTTTTGATAAAGTTGTAAATCCATCTACGGGTGTCCTCGAGCATGTTCATCCTCGAGACACTAGGCCCGACCACATCTCATGCTGCTTCGCATATTGCAAACATTTTGTCCTCGGGTATAGTCCTCGAGCATGTGTTCCCCTCACAACTGACGATGGTTGACCCTTTAGAATTCCTACGCAATTAGGAATCCTAACTCCCTCAAGAATCTTATCTCACATATAATTCTGGAATTCAACCAACTCCTTAACTATTCAGGACTCCAACAAATGAGGACATCCAGCTAGTTGAGTCCAATTAGGAGAATGTCACTTACTACTATAAATACAGAATCTTGAACCATTATTCAGGTACGTTTTTCATTGTTCTTCAGCAAATAGTCTCACACATATATTTCCCTTTCTGACTTAAGCATCGGAGGGGCGACGATAACACACCTCGTTGCCTTTGTTTCAGGTACCGAAAGATCACGTTCGTGCTCCTGATCAGTCATCAAGCTCGGGAAATCTACAGGTACGATTTTTGGTAGCATCAAATGTATTGTGAAGTGTAAATTTTGATTGCACAAACAAGTCATGTCCACATAGGGGCGGCAATCGAGTCGAACAACTCATCGACTCGATCACTCAACTCATAAAAAGACGGTTTGTGTGCGGATCGGGCTCGTATTTGGACTAGTGGGCAAAGCCCACAAGCCTAAAGTTCATGAGCTCGTAAAAAAATGGGAAAAAAAGAATCAAAAAAGAAATTTAAAAATTAAAAAATAAATTGTGGGCCAAGACGAGCTCAACCCTTGAGCATGAGCCAAGCACGAGCTCGTGCTTGAACGAGCTTGAGTGATGAGTCGAGCTCATGAGTGGATGGGCTGAGCAAGCTCGACTAGCCCCATTGCTATCCATATGTCCACAATAACTATAAATGCCTTTTAGACCATTTCAGCGTTCTCAACAAACATCTTTTTCATGAAGTGATGCCAACGTTTGGAAGTATTTTCATGGGCTTTCACCTGCTTTCGATCTTTTTAGATATTGTTTCGTCTGCTAAAATCATCACGATTTATTTTTGTTAGATCATTATCCAAGATATTATCAAGAATTAAACTTCGTCCAATCGAAATATTTAAAAAATAAAGAAGGTATTAGAAGATTCCTAATGTTTGATAATCCTTTAACTGGTGTTTAATTAAAATAATGTATTTACTTAAAATTTAATATTCCATTGGCTGTTACTAGTAAAAAAATGTCAAATAAGGGATGTTTGTGTGCAACTTGCGGAATAGTTTAAAAAAATACCAGCATTAAAAAGGGAAATTACTTCGGTACCAAGCAAACAGTACCACCAACAAAATGTGTGGATCGGGAAGCTTCGTGTCATCACAAATCACATCCGAGTACACATCTCTAGACTAAGAAATTGCCACGTCATCACTCAGGAAAAATTAATTAATATAGGCCACTAGATAGTTCACGAAAATATCTAGAGAAGGCTATATAAGTATCGCGGCAGCTGTATCTCATCGAGATTTTTCTTTCTGTCTCTTCATTTTGTACCAAAAACTTCTAGAAAAACCACACGCAAGAGCTTACTTGTATAACCCAGAAAAAATTAACTGCAGAGATAAAGGGGGAAGCTCAATTAAATTTGTTCAGAGGTATGGATTCAATTCTGTTTTGTGGGCTTTTCATTTCCTTTCAGTTTCTGTTACTTTTTGTATGAGCGGTGTTAATAAAAATTGGGTTTTTTTTAATTTTAATTGTTCTTTCTGCCCTGCTTTGAAGATTTTTCTTTTTGATTTGGCATATGTTTTTCGATATGTTATTAAAAAATATAGACTGGGCGTGTGAAGGAAGAAAAGGGGCGAGAAATGTCTATTTTTGTGGGCTTGAATTCTGTGAGGAGGTTTTTCTTTTTGGTGGAAAATGATTTGTAAAAGTTACTTGTTTGAGTATTTATAGTTGATGCTGAAGGATTTTTATTTTATGGAAAAGAAAAGGTTCGATTTTGCTTTCGTTTCTTGGCCGCAAAGAAATTTGGTTTACTTAGTAAGTGGGGTTGGCGTGTGCCAGCTGGTTTTCCTAAATATATGAGAGAAATATTGCTGTCTACGGATTAGATGAATCTGTGGTCAGTTGGAGCGTCTCTCTGTTGCGCGAACAAAATAAAAGTATTTTGGGACATTGAAGTATTTTGATTGATGGTGGGATTTTGAATTTCCATTGGCACATTGTATAGGTCATTTGAAGATCAATCTAGGAACCGGTACGACCTCAGTAGTGCAAACTACTGCGATTTTACGGCTAACATAATGTAACATGAGTGTCTACTTTGTCTCTTTCAAAATTTGCACAAGATTTGGCGTGTGCATTTTCAACCAGTCGGTTGCGTTTTCAGTTTTGGTCATAATAGTATTGATTGATATTCCGGAGCGAAATCATCTTATTTGTTTATCTTGTAGATGATTTCCTATTAAGTCTATAATTGATTTTGTAGTTGTGGAAGCTGGAAGGTGACTGAACATTAGTTCTTTGTTTTACACAGGGATGGCACTCTTGAATCAATCTTTTAATCCTGTTTCTCAACGCATGGACTACAATAGAAAGAGGAAGTCGAGAAGTAGAAAGGATGGATCAAAAAATGTAGCAGAGGCGCTCGCAAAGTGGAAAGAATACAACAGCAAACTCAATTCTGAGAATGATGAAGGTAAGGTGGCACGTAAAGCTCCTGCGAAGGGATCAAAGAAAGGATGTATGAAAGGTAAAGGAGGTCCTGAAAATGCTCGTTGCAATTATAGAGGCGTTCGGCAGAGGACATGGGGTAAGTGGGTTGCTGAAATTAGAGAGCCGCACAGAGGTAGTAGGCTCTGGTTGGGTACATTTAACAATGCGATTGAAGCTGCTAAAGCTTATGACGAGGCTGCAAGAGTATTGTATGGCCCTTGCGCTCGGCTTAATTTCCCCACATGCCATATGCTGAATGAGTTGACGAAAGAGCGTTGTTCATTGCCATCTACATCAACATCCGATTCCATAACTTCTAGTGTATCTGACGTTCATCTGGCGGACCATATGGGGCCTGAGGCTGATGTTTTGAAGATGAAAGTCAAAGATGCCGAAGGTGAATCACTGACAAACAATGATGAGCATTCGCAGCTGGGTGAGGCTGGTCATGCAGTGAAGGCAGAAATAAACGAGAGACCTGTGATGGAGGAAACAACGGAAGAACCTTGTCCACACTTGGATAGCACTGAAAATAGTAGGTTCTATACAAAGGAAGACCCTGCATATTTCACTGAAAGTTCTGAGGCAGGGCAAGATCCATTAGAGGCCTTCTCTTGGGATGAAATTTTTGATGTGGATGAGTTACTGACCACATTGGATTCTACTAGATACCATGCTTCAGAGCCCAAGATTGGATTGATGTCACATGGTGGTCAAGCAGGGCAAACCACTTATGGTGCTGTCCGTGCTTCAGATCTATCAAATGACTTGCAGAACTCAGATGTGAAGATGCTTGGTAGTTCACACCACCTGGAGCAGGCACCTTCTATAGCTGATTATGATTTTGATTTCCTTAAACCTGAAAGACGAGAGGATTTCGATATTAAATTGGATGATCTGTTACTTGATTTACACTCAGACTGGGCACCAGAATCTGTTTAGATCCACACTGATTGATAAGTGGCAACGGATTTTCATTCTTGATATAATATTCAAGTTGGACTTTTGGAGTAGGAGTTAGTATGTTGGTCTTCCTGGATGATTAATTATTTATGAGGGTCCCTTGGAAACAGCAGCATTGTTTGGCATTAGAGAGGTCAATACTGTTGCAACTTGCATATGCACATTTTTTTTTTTGTTGTTCTGTACGAAAGCATGTCCCTTTTTGCCTTCTGACTGATCACCTCGTGCTGCTGCTTGGCAAGTTTTTAAATTAGGGGGATTTGGTTCTTGTTCGAACTTCTCAAGTGAAAGAGTTTTCCTGTACAGATATTATACTCTGATGTTAGTTTTGTGTAAAAATAATTACATACTTCAGAGTATAGATGATTAATGATTATTTTTCATAGTAAAGTGCTAAGAATTCCAACTATTCTTCTATTTGTTGTGACTATGTCTCTGGTTCATTTAGCTAAAAATAAGATTTCAGTGGATTTTAATAAAAATTGATGAATGTGTGGTTGAAAAGTTGACAAAAGTTGTAAGTTCCGTAAAATGAGTAGTTAAAATTAGTTTGAATGAATTTTCGATAGGATGCCAAATAGGGTTTATATGTACTTTAGTTTGTATTCATGACCTGCATCAAATAATTATTTTCCTTTTTCTTTGTTTTTTAGTCTCCTTTGTCTCAGATTATTTGAATCCGGATTGTGATAGAATCACTACGTGGTAAACTTGATGTTGGAAAGGCACGAATTCGTGGTTCGTAGTGAAAGCTGTGTTTCAGTCGAGTTGACTGATTTTTTCTATAAGAAGAGAGGAGTAACAGGAGTTCAATTCCTCTCAATTAGTTGTCATTGCCTTTGATTATCATGTCACGGTTAGCACGTATTTTAACATTGTTTTGTAGTTTCGAAGAGAATCTCAAGTAAAATAGAATCAACAATAACTTTTCTACACAGTTCTAAGTGTTGGTTTATTTATACCAATTGTGTTGTAAAATATAATTTCACACAGAGGAGAAACGGAGAATAAACAAAGATTAAAACCAGGAATAACATATCAAGATAAAATTATAGATGAAGGCTAGAACACGGTATCATTATTCACAAATGATATTTGCCTCCTCTCGGATTGAAATTCGATAATTATAGGATTTTCGACAAATGGTTTATAGGAGTAATTAAGTCTTGTCAAGGATTTAACACTTAATCACTTAGGGTCCGTTTGATACGCCATATTTTCCATGGAAAATGGAAAATTCCCCACCATTTTCCAACTTTCTGCCTATTTGATAGGCAATTTTTTTAAGGCATTTGATTTTCTTACTTTCCCTCACGTGACCCCTAATTCCACGAAAAACAGGAATTCCAATTCTCATGGTTGAGCTGGTTTTAGTTTTCTAGGGAATTCAAAGTGAAAGAAACCCTTAAACACGTCAAACCCAAAACATTTCTCTTTCTTCTCACAACATTGCTGCGTCCCATTTCTCCTGCAGAACCGACCCTTGAAATACCGACGACGTCGACCCAGAAAATCTCCCCATAATCCATACCGACGGTGGACGCTATTTGATTCTGATCCCATCGCTCTGTCTCTCTCTGTTTTCCCCTCCGAAATCTCTAAATCGGTATGTATTGCATAAACTTAAACTTTGCAAGTAGTGTATGCCCTCCTTTTTTTCTTCGGGAGTCGAAGGGCTGGGTAAATGGTTTCTGTCTCTCTTCCTATTTCATTTGCTATGCTCCTATTTCATATGCTACCATATTTTATTCTTCAGTTGTAGATTCTTGCGAACCGTTGTGATTAGCTTCTAAATTAGGATTTGTAATTCATTTCTATGTTAGATTTTGGGTGTTTTAGTCCTGCTTTTTGGAATGGCAATGTATTGAAGAACCTGTTAACTTAATTGTAACCAGCTATCAACCCTTTCACTCGGTAAGTTTTTGGAATTTCATTTTCCTTTTTTTGGGTTTAGGATTTTGATTCTCATGTTTACAATTTCCTTTTTTTGTTGTTCACATTACACAACACAGACGTTTGCTTTATTACTAATGTAATATTACTTATGACCAATCTGTGAATCCATAACTGCAGAAAAGCAATATCATACTGGTGAACAAAAATGAAATTTGTTAAATGAGTGCTCATGATACTCAGTTAAAGCAAGAAGAATAGAAGTGGGTCTACTGTTATTTGGAAGAGAGAGGACAGTAGCAAAAACCTATTTCATATAAATAAGCTTGTGTTGCTATCCCCATGAAAATTAGGATCTGTAATTCACTTCTAGGTTGTTTGGAAGATAGAGGACAGTAGCAAAAACCTATTTGCATTAAAATACCCAATAGTCTTTCAAAGTATAATTTCTGAGTTTTTCCTAATTACCTTCACTTTCCTCTTTTCTTTTCACTGCCCATTGGTGTTACATAGGAGCTATTTTTATTCTCTCATTTTAGTTAGGTTCTCAGTATCATTCAGTAGTTGCCCTTTTCAATTTGGAAGATGAAACATGTTGATGTTAAAATTGCTTTTTTATATAGTGAATTGAAAGAAAAAATTTATGAAAGCATGGTGATTTATAGATTGGTTTAAATTATATATGTAGTGCACGTAATTATGAAAGATAAATAATTTATTACTATACAATACATTATCCAGGTACAATTTGTTTGATAAATAACAACAACAACAACAACAACAACAACAACAACAACAACAACAACAACAATAATAATAATAATAATAATAAGGGTAATTAGCACAAAATATCCCTACCTTTCGATGTTTTTGTGGATAACGTCCCTACCTTTCATTTTTTGGTGGATTACACCCTTACCTTTACATTTTTTTGCGCAAAACGTCCTTCCGTCAACTTTCCGTTAAAATGCTCCGTTAAATCAAAAAGGTAATTAGCACAAAAGGTCCCTACCTTTCAAAGTTATTGTGCAAAACGTCCCTACCTTTTATTTTTTAGCATAATTAGCAGAAAATGTCCCTACCTTTCAATATTATAGTGCAAAACGTCCCTACCTTTCATTTTTAGCATTTTTACCCCTACCTTTCACATTTCATTGCAAAAAGGTCATTTTCATCCATTTTTTCAATAAAATGACGATTTTACCCTCCTATTCAAATAAAACAAAAAGAAAAGATGAATTACCAACTGCAACCATAATCCTTAAATTTTTAAAAAATTACAAAAAATCATAAATTCTCAACCACCACCATTTTCACAACCTATCAAGCTGCCAACTATAAATCCACATAATACCACCTTTCGGCCACCATGCCCACTGGACTCCATCACCGTAAATGTGGTTGTTTCGGACAGATTGGTGACCAATACTATGGAGGAGGTTATTGGGGAGAGTGAGGCGACGCTGGTGGTGGTATAATAATAATGAAGCCCTTTTTTTAAGTTCCAAATTGTTAAAACAATAAATCAGAATATGAGAGTATGTGAAAAGTGTGTAGAGATTTGTGAAAGTTCATGATGTCAACAGCTCATTAATTCTTTTTACGTCAAATTGTTTAATGGGCTTTAGAATGTTTGTTTTAATCTATTTTATCAATTATGTAGTGATCCTGTTAGTCAATTATGAAAATTCGAAGTTTGAGTATATTCTTCTTCACGATTAAATGATTATCGTAATATATTTCGTTGTTTGAAACGAATTTCATGTGACAAAAATTAGTATATTAACACTTTAGATGTTCTTTGAAGCACCATGCCTACCACAGGGAACCAACGTAGTCGCTGAAGACAACAATTATGATTATTTTGGATGATGGTCATGCAAGCAATTGTACTATATAATACCGTTAGGCGTTGTAGTTGCCAACTCCCTAGAGCCCCACATAGGAACTGGAATTTTGAAAGAGAAATGACACTTACACGAATGTTTGGTATGAGTGATAGAATTTGTCATGATCTATTGAGGATGAAGATAGCTCTGTTTTAAAGCTTATGTGCTCGTTTACGAACATATGACTTGGTTGACAATAGATCTGTCAAAGTAGAGGAACAGGTGGCTATTTATGAATGTGACAAGTACTAAATACATGCATGCTTTGGTGTTTGACAAGCTTGGTCATGATCCGTCGGCACCACCTTAGACTGTACTTGACTTATGGCGTTAGTATTTGGAAAACTTAATCCACATAAGTAATACTTTGACTGATTTTTTGTAATGCACATATGTAACAACTAGTGTGCAATGTTTTGTATGCATTAATGTGGATGTGTTTGGTCAATTAGTGTGCAGTCATTTTTTGCTATGTTATGACAAGTTCGCCAATTGCTAAATATCTTCTTGTTGTTTATTGGGTTGATATTTGAGGTATCTTCTTTATTTTGTAATGTCATTAGTACATTTCAATATCTAGATAGTACGAATATTGTGTTGATTTTGGGGTGACACTCAAATTCGACATAAATATGCAAAATGTTTCGAAGTGGCATTGTGTACGCGGTCCATTCATCACCAAGAGAAATATCAAACGACATTTGAATATTGTACCAAACGAACACATTCAACGAGTAGACATCAAGTAATGCAATTGAAGTATGTTACCGCTTCAAATTGGGCATGTGGTCGAATTTACTCAATTGGGATCTTTAAAATTATTTACAAATTAACTTTTTCACTACAATTTGGTAAAAACTTTTTGCTTCATTTTGATGCACATTTTCAGTACAACATCACGTGAATATATTCCCATATTCATCCAAATCATTTGCAAGGACTTCCGTGTGTGTTACGGAGAAGGTATCTCCGTGACACACACACACGGAGAAACTCTCTCCGTGACACACTGTCACGGAGACACTTACACACGTTTTTTTCCATTTTTTCTTTTTTCTGTTTTATTGTTGTTTCAGGATGTTGTTTTGTAAACAAAAATAATAATATAATCTACGATCAATTATACACTTTTTAAAGTTCATCTTCTATATTGGGTATGTCCCTTGAAAAGAAGAGCACATCTGTTGAAAGTAACTATCAAAACGAATAGATGCACCTATTCAAAAACTTTTGAAAATAAAATTCTCTTTTGGGGGCGTTTCCCCCTAGCCTCCACGGGGGACGCTGCCCCCTCGACCCTCGCGATCTGATCGGACAGGTTGATCCCCGTTGTGCAGCGGCAAATCATTCGCAAAACAAAAAAATAAATACATGCAAAATGATGAAAAATATCTAACACTTGTGTGGTTTAGAAGAAAAATATTGTTTTTAGTAGATTTTGGTAAAAAATTTGATGAAATATGTAGTTTAAAAATTGTAAAATTAATGAAATATATAGGTTAAATTAATTTTTTATTTTAATAAAATTTTATCATTTTTTGTAGTTCAATAAGATAGGAATTCCTTACAAAATGGCAATCAAACACTAATAGTTGGAAAATAAATACACTTTCCATGGAAAATGAAGCCAATCAAACACTAAAAGA